GAGCTCACATGTGCTTGCGGAGGAATGTACACACTTACGAGAATGAACGAGCAAAACTCCCGCGGCAAATAGAACGGCTTGCAATTAATGAAGAGCACTTCTAGATCTGAACAGCACATCTTCTTTAACACAGTTACATCTGTACACCACCTCTCATTGATGTAAAAGCATGTCCCACCGCCGCGTGATTTCCCCGTTGATTCTGCGTCGCAATCTGCTCTAAACAGCTGAAAGCCCGGAGACTCAACGCGCTGTCCGGTATGGCGTCTTTCAGCCAGGTTTCCGTGAAACACAGAGCAGCAGAGTTTGAAAAATCCTTATTTGTCCGGTAGAGCAGAAGGAGTTTGTCCGTTTTGTTGGGTAGAGAGCGGAGGTTCGCCAGATGGATGCTTGGCAACGGCGTTCTGAGCTTCACGAGCGCGCCGGCTTGCTTTCCCCGTCTGCGCGTCCTGAAGCGCTTGATCAGTGCAGCAGCTCCCCCGACAACAATGTCCAGCAAAACATCCGAATAGTCGAAAACCGGTGAAATATCGGGTGGTGTGTACTTCCGAATGTCCAGCAATTCGTCTCTGGTGAAACTGATTGCAGGGATATAACTAAAGACAGGACAAACTAACAAAAACATAAAAACAACTGCGGAGCAAGCCACGGAGGCAGCCATCAGCGTCGGCGCCATCTTACATCCATGTCTAAAGCATACACACATTTCCACTGAATGAGAAATGTGTTCTAACAATGTCGTTGAACCAAATGTATGAAGGAAACTGTTAAAATAACCACAACATTAACAACAACCTTGAAATAAGAGCGCAAGGTTTATCTGATAATCAGATCATGAAAGTAGCATTCCCTTTTGTGGAACTTCGAACTGCGTCCTCTAGGGGTCGCTATGCGGAACGCCTCGTCGTGACCCGTGTCTGAAGCCTACATTGAAAAAACACCAACTTGTTTGGCCGGCGACAGCCATGACGTCACTACCGTCGCAACTAGTACAAAATAGGCGCCGGTAGCACACATCATCACTTTCTTCGTCTTCACTGACCGTTCTGTTTGAAGCGTGCATTCCAAAAGCAAAGTAAGAGTATTTCTTTTCCTACTATGGCGAGCACTAGCGGAGCGTTTAGAAAGTGTGTACATCTGTGTCAGCGGTTTCTGACACCCGATGATTCACACGATCTATGCGTTGTTTGTTTGGGCGAGGAGCACGCACGCGATGTCTTCGAGGAGGCAATCTGCGTGCACTG